ACTCACTGGAAATACCTTCTCACAGTCTGTTTACGTGTCTGTTAACGTTGGTTATTATATCATTTACAACATGAAATTTTCATTTTCACGTAGTCAAAACATGCCCTTTTCCTAAGAGCTTCCAAGACTTTTCTCGGGTTCGAGGACGTACCCCAGCCGTGGGACTCCGTGGGGGTGTGGGGGGGTGAGCACTTAGCACCAGGGCTGCTGGCGACACGGGGCGGGTGCCACTGGGGAGGTGCTTTGCAGAGACACAGGGATTTAAAGAAACTTCAGGGGGATTTTGCAGCGAATTTCAACTTCCATAGAACGGCATCGCTCCGGCTTTCGAGTTGACTGTTTTCCCTGGAGGGGCCTGTCTGCGTTGCTGCTCTCAGGACGCACTGGGAGCCCCGTGGGACCCGCCCTACTGGTGATCCACTGAATCCGTAAATGGCCACCAAAGCGGTGTGAGTGAGTGTGTGTGTGTGTGAGTGTGAGTGTGTGTGAGTATGAGTGTGTGTGTGAACATGACTGTGTATACAGCGGCACCTGTGTGAGTGTGTGTGTGAGTGTGTGTGTGTGAGTGTATGTGTGTGCGTGTGTGTGTGTGAACATGACCGTGTATACAGCGGCACCTGTAAATCCGAGCACAGCCACGTGTAAGCACCGCTGGAAACCTCTGTGAGCCCTGAACATCTGCCATCCTGCACTGGCTGTGGCTCGCCCCCCTCCAGGCCCAGCAGACCGTAAACACCCAGAACCAGAACTCACCCGCATCTGTGATGTGTTCATGTAAAACAGCTCATCTCTGGAGGCTGGAGTTAATGGTGATTGGCGGAAAGAGCTAGCAGTTTACAGTCCTGGTTTGGTTTGCAAAAGGAGGCGGGGCCTAAGGCAATGACTACATCTAGAAACAGGGAACTTGTCAAATATAGGAGTAAATCTAATAAATCCAGTAAATGAACAATTACATCAAAGCAAATGAGGAGGAAAATGGTGTCCGCTGATCATGGCATCATTTTTTACTCATTCCAGCTTACAGTATTTTTAACAGCTTTACTGAGAAATCATTCACACACCATGCAGTTCAACCATTTAAAGTATACAGTTGAATGGTTTTTTAGTATAGTCACAAAATTTTGCATCCATCCCCAAGATCAATTGTGGAATATTGTAATTTCTTGAAAAAGAGACCTGGCACCCCTGGACTGTAACCTCCCCCTGCCCCAGACTTAGGCAAGCACTGTCCTGGCCTCCTGTCTGTAGAGCTGCCTTCGGACGTTTCGCGTGAACAGAATCTGCGGCACACGGTGCCTGTGCTGGGAGCTGCCTTGTGAGTTCCTGCCGAAAGGCAGATGGAGCGCCAGGAGAAAGGAGCTGCAGTGGACAGGCCTTGGCTGGTGGACTGCGTGGGGAGGGCAGGCGCCCCACAGCCCCCCGCATGGGGACCCTCTGTACTCACTGCTGGTCCCCGGGTTGGGGGGCACTGGTCTTCTCATGCCCTCACTTCTCCTCCCGGTCTAAGAGGAGCGGTTGATTTTTCAGTTTGTTCAGCTGTTTACTCACCGTTAAGACGGAGCAGTGATGCTAAGCTGCGCAGGTGCTGACCAGAAACCGGAGGCAGGGTGACTGGCTCAGTTTTTAATAGGGCGACTTGCCTTTTTATTGTGGAGTTGTCGTTCATCCTGGCAGAGATTTTGTGTTCCAATTTCAGAAAGAAATTCACTTTCCTTTGCAAGGTATCATATGTTAGCATACTATTTCATTAATCTGAACATGAATAAGAAAGCTAAGGACAAATGGTGTATTTGGGCAACTTAAAATTTTAGACTCAAAAATCAGAAATGTTACGTATTTTTTTTCATTACAATAAACACTCTGATTGGTTTAACTGTTTTTCTTACACTGACAGTAAAATTTTTGGATCATGCTCTTTACCAGCAAACTAGGCTAATGATATAATGATTTAATATAATGATATAATGTTAAATATAATATTTAACCTCAAACCTCCCCGTCCTTGGTTATCTTCACTAAGACTTTGAGGTGAAAACCTGCGCTTCCGAAGCACCGGGGAGACTCTGGGACGCATCTGCCGCTGTCATCCGCCGGCGTCGCCTCCCCTCCGGCTCACACACGGGCCGCTGGCGGGAAAGGCGGGGTGTCCGGACAGGGCCTGGGGCTTCCCTTCCATCTGCTTTGGGTTCTCAGCACCGTCACTGAAAACAACTTGCCGAGCAAATGGCCCCAACTCACCGCCCACCTTCCTCGGACCTGCTGGGCGGAACCAGGGAAGAGGCAGTGGTGAGGCCCCGTGTCACCGAGAGCCCAGCTGGCCAGCCGCCCCCAGAGAGGCCGGTGGCAGGTTCCGGGGTCCGGGGGGCGTGCGGCTGGGGTCTGCCCGCGGTGGCGGCAGCGACACCCTCATCCAGCTCGCGCTTCCCGCTGGTGGAGACCCACGCCGCGCCCTTGACCCCCGTGGCCCCCGCGGCTTGTCCACGCGGCGCAGGCCCCCTCGCGTGTGGCGCCTCCAGCTTCCTCACCGCTCGACTCAATGCCTCTTGGAATCAGCCGCCGTCACCGGAGGAAGGCCGAGCCCACTGTGGAGCGGGGACCTCGGGTCCCCAGCCCTCAGGTCCAACTGCGCACACAGCCGGTTGCTAATTGATTGTATGCTAACCCTTCACGGAGACGCTGCTCGGGCAGGAACGGCTGTGCTGTAAGGGAGACATCCCCGTGGAGTTGCCTTTCCGTCCTTTCTCTTGTTTCTAATGCCTGGGAATACTCAATTCTATCTTGATTAGAAATTATAGGATGTCCTAAAACGGTTATTACGAGATGCTTCATTCTGGTGAGAGAGTTGGGAGTTTAGAATTACTGTTTCTGACACTTCTGAAAATGGAGCGTTTAGAGGAGCATTTGTAGTAAGAACGGGGTTGGACAGCCACTCAATTCTACCAAGAAGCGCACAGATCGCAAGGGGACAACCCCGTGACTTTGCACAGGACGAGCACACCCGTCACCAGCGCTGAAAGCAGGGAACCCCACATTGCAGGCATCCCCGTGGTGCTTCGTTGCCATGCCAACCACCTTCCAAGGGTAACCACAGCCGAGATTTGGCGACACTGAAGGTTGACACCCCGTCCTCTTTTCTCCTGATCTGCGTCTTTACGTTGCGGCTCAGCCGTGCTGATCCACGTCCTTAGGGTCCGTCCCCTTCCGAGGCCGGAGGCTGTTTCCTAAGGAGTGTCCCGCCGCTCGTGTACCTGCCGGTTGTGAGGACACTGGGACATTTTCGTTTCTTAGCGGTTACAGCAGTGCTGCCGCTGAGGTTCTCGCGGACGTCTTCCGTGAGCACAGGCGCTCATCTCCGTGGGGCACACGCATACGAAGCGGACTGCCGGGTCGCAGCTGTGTGTGTGTCCCGCCTTAGTGGGTAACGGACGGTGTCCCGAGGGCCGTCCCCGTCCACACGCCCGGCTGTGACAAGAAGATCCCGGCTGCCGCACGGCCACCCCAGGACCTGCCGTCCCTGCCCCTTTCAGTCTGGGGTCACCTGCACGTGGCTCGTGCCCTGGGATCTCATTTCACCTTGACTGAGCAAGCCTTCTGGACTTGGAAAGACACCTCGTTCACATGTACGTACCTGTGACCTGACGTGGGTCTACGTCCTGGAGCAGAGACCATGTGTTAGACGCTCCCAGCCCTCGAGAGACTCTAATGTGGCAAGTTCTCAGTGAGCTTTTGTGAAGATGGGCCTTGACTCCATGTTCTGTTCCAGAGAGAGAGAGAGAGAGAGAGAGAGAGAGAGAGAAAGGTTCAACTTGCTGAAAAGGAAACTGCAAACGTACCGGTTTCTGGATTATCATTTAATCACAGTGCTCACTCTCCTCACGTCTGCCTCCCCTCAGGACTCAGGAAATTCAGGCTCCAGCCGCAGAACGCACCCAAGGCCGCTGAGGTTCCTGAGGGCGGGAAGCAGTCACTGAGAACCACCCGTCGGAGATCTGAGGAGGTCGCCCAGAAGCGGGGTGGCGGAACCCGCCTTCTCACGAATTCTCGGAAGCCTCGAGTCCAGTTCTCCTTTTCATCAGTAAGATGGACGCTGCACACTGTCTCCCGCACCAGCTGGGAGGTGTTTCAGGCCGTGACGGTTGTCAAAGGGCTTTGCTCACCAAGTCGTTTATTTCAACCCATATTATTTACTAATGCCTGAAACTGGCCTGAGGTTAGTCATTTTATGAACCTGATGTTATTACATTCTTTTAAAACAAGATCCATTGGAAGTTGAGCTTCTGTTTTTTTCTTCTTATTATTAAATGTATTGGGGTGACATTGGTTAGTGGTCGTATAGGTTTCAAGTGCACAATCCCATAACCATCGTCTGTCCCTTGCACTGTGTGTTCACCACCAGTCAGTTCTCTTTCTGTCACCCTATACTTGAGCTTTTTTCTCCGTTAATTGCTGCCAGGGACGCCCTCAAATGTCTTTATGGAAGCTGTTATTTTTAGGGTTTACAATGTTTTTGTTTCTTCGTACCAAGGGGTTCATATTGACTTCCCTGCATTCTGTAGGGAAGACTTAAAGGGCTTTGGGCTCCTCGGGTGCCCATGCGTCTCCACCGCGATGCCCCCTCGTCCTGCTGTGTTTCCCGGTGCCCAGTGCCTCCCTCTTCTCCAGGAGGTTGGAACCAGGAAACGAGCGAGCAAATGCTGAGCCGGGGATTAAGACAAGGTGTCACCCTAGTGGAAGTAAATCGATTCTGAGACTGGAATCTCTGCCTTATTTATTTTTGGAGCCGTAACTGCCCAGTTTTGTTGCTCATTTAGCTCCAGGAACCTGTGTCCGCAGCCCTGCGTGGCTTCACTGCGGCTGTTTCCAGCCGTCCTCAGCGCCCCACCACCTTGGTCGCCTCTCTGAACACGGGGTCCTTCGATGACGGTGCTGGTGGCCACAGCCTCCAAGGCCCTTTGTGTTTTCAGAGTGAAAGTGTGCTGATTGTCTGTTTACTCCAACAGAGCTCGTCGGGCGACGTGATGATCAGAAACACCCAGCTGAAGCACAGTGGACGGTACGTGTGCATGGTGCGGACCGGGGTGGACAGCGTGTCATCGGCCGCCGACCTCATCGTGAGAGGTAAACAGCGGTGCCTTGGTGGGTTTTTAATTTCAAGTCTTCCCTCAGCATTTCTTCCTGCAAGATAAACCATGATGAGATGGCATACGAGCTGACGGATTTTAATGTGGATTTAATCCCCGGCGAGAATGTGACAGTAAGGATGGGTGCTAATTCAAAGAAATAAAAATCTCAACTCTGCCCTTCAAATCGCTCTCACTGTCATAAGCGTTGCACTGCTGCTGCCAAGGTGATGTGTTTTGAGCACGTCATTAATTCAGCGATCGTGTTCAAAATGGAAGAGCATCGTGCTGTGTGAGCTCGCACGCACGTGTGGCTGCTTCCGGAAGAACCAGGAGCGCCCAGAAAGCCTGAGGAGCGCAGCCAGTCTGCGCTGCTGTCCAACGTGCTGATTTGCTACCGGACTGAACATGGACCAGAGTGCGTCCCAGAATAAAACAGCCCCGGATAGCACGCTGGGAACAGCAGAGATGTGTCAGGAGGTTCAAGGAACAGGCACCATGCCCGGAGGAAAGGACGCTGAGTTTGGAAGGTGCAGGAATCCTGCCGAACAGAGGCCTCGGGAAGCGAGGCTGTCTGCAGCCGTGGAGCGCTGCGATTTTGGAATCACTGCTCCACGTCCAGATTTTAGATTGAACCACAGAAACGTGGGGACAGTGGTAGTTTTGTTGCCAGGTTAATGGGCTTTTCCCCCAGTGCTTTTGAAACCGGGACCAGCTGGAGGTGTTTTGTTGTTGCTTGTTGTTTGTTTTGTTTTTTTTAGTTTCAGGTGTACAAAACAATGTAATCGTCATTTACAACCCTCACAAAGTGATAACCCCCAGCCTGCTGCCCCTCTGACATCATGTAGAGCTGTTGTAATACCCGTGACCCTATTCCCTGTGCTGCGCTCCACATCCTGTCAGTATATGTACATTGGGTTGTTGGAAAAGTCATGACATGTTTTTGCAATGAAAAACATAGAAAAAAAAATGTCATGACTTTTCCGACAACCATATATATATATATATATATATATATATATATATATATATATATATATATATATATATATATATATATATATATATATATATATAATTCGATATTATTCAGCTTCATCTTCAGGTGTACAGTGCAGAGGTCAGGCAGCTACACCGTCTATGAAGTGGTCTCCCTGATAAGACATGTGACCCCCTGACACCCTACAAAATATTTACAACATTATTGATTACATTCCCCGAACTGTCTTTCACATCCCCGAGGCTACATTGCGACTACTAAATTGTCTTTCTAATCCCTTCCCCTTTTCCCCCGTCCGTGTCCCTACCATCTAACAACCCTCAGTTTGGTTCTTTTCCGTATGTCTCTGAGTCTATTTCCATTTTGTTGGCTCATTTGTTCAGTTCTTTAGATTCCACATATAAGTGAGATCATATGGTATTTGTCTTTCTCTGACTGACTTATTTCACTTAACATAATGATCTCTATGTCCATCCACATCATCCCAAATGGTACGATTTCATTCTTCTTTATAGCGGAGTAATACTCCATTGTGTAAATGTACCACAGTTTCTTAATCCAGTCGTCTACCGATGGGCATTTCGGTCGTTTCCAAGTCTTGGCTATTGTGAATAGCGCTGCAATAAACATAGGGGTGCATGTATTTTTTCAAATTAATGTTTTGGATTTCTCTGGATAGATACCCAAGAGTGGAATTGCTGGGTCATACGGTAGTTCCATTTCCAGTTTTTTAAGATAACCTCCATACTGATTTCCACAGTGGCCGCACCAATCTGCAGTCCCACCAGCAGTGCACCAGGGTTCCCTTTTCTCCACATCATGTGACATGGTCGTCCCTCTGGTAGACGAGGATGACGTTTATGGGGGAGCATCCCACTGTTTGCATCTCGCTGTCCTTAGGTTCACCGGGACCACCAGAAAATGTGAAGGTGGATGAAGTCACAGACACCACAGCCCAACTCTCTTGGAAAGAAGGTTCAGACAACCGGAGCCCCGTGACGTCCTACTCGGTCCAGGCAAGGACGCCTTTCTCCGTGGGTTGGCAAGCTGTCATGACAGGTAAAGGGGGGCAGGCAAGTGCCACAACGCCCATCGGCGGAGGTCAGGTCAGCGCAGAGGCACGCGGACGCTTACCCGTGACTTTCCGCCCCTGCAGTGCCTGAGGTCATCGATGGAAAAGCACACTCGGCCACCGTGGTCGACTTAAACCCATGGGTGGAGTACGAATTCCGCGTCGTAGCCAACAACAAAATCGGCGGGGGAGAGCCCAGCCTACCCTCAGAAAAAGTAAGAACTGAAGAGGCAGGTTAGTGTCCTGTTTCCTGAGTAACGGGTGAGCACCTTCCCCGGGCGTGGGCTTCCAGCTCCCTGACCTTGGTTTCCAGGCCAGCGGGGGACCAGCCCCAGGAACCCATTGTCACAGCGATCTGACCTCTCAAACACAGAACTGGCCATATGGTGTCTGTCAGGAGACTCGCGTGAATGCGATTCTGACGCCATGTGACATTTTCGAGAGCCTAGTCTATCGTCTGCATTTATTAGTAGTACCTGTGCAGGGACTATGGTTTTGTCGCTTATGGTTATAATTACTCTGTGACACGGCCACTCTGTTGACAGGGGAAGTGCTGGTTTCATTTCTAACGAGCGCTGACAAGTTGTAGGATAATGACATTTGGAAGTCTGCTGCCGGGGAGCCTCAGGGTGCCACCAGCTCTGTGCATGAGCCAAACAGTGGGTGGGTAGGAACGTTTGGGCCCCTCAAGTGTTAAATTAAGGGAGAATCATTGTTAAAATTGTCCAGCTGGGGTAACTATGAATGTTAACCGTAAGACTATTTTATAATTCTAAAAATACCCTAACATTACAACTGAAAGTTCGAAAGTATATATCATATCACCTTATTGAGGCGTCTGAGAGGATCTAGAGCAGTGGTTTTCAACCTGTGGGTTGCAACCCCTTTGGGGGTCGAACGGCCCTTTCACAGGGGTCGCCTAAGACCATCGGAAAACAAGAAGATATTTACATTACGATTCATAACAGTAGCAAAATTACAGTTATAGAGTAGCAGCGAACATAATTTTATGGTTGGGGGTCACCACAACATGAGGAACTGTATTAAGGGGTCGCGGCATTAGGAAGGTTGAGAACCGCTGATCTAAAGGCTTTCATTCCAGAATCTGTAATATTAATGGATATTAGCTAATATGACATTTAAGTAGATCCTCTCTGTCACTTTAGGGACTTAGTTGAGATAGGAGTCATTTTCATGATGCAGATTAGTGCCAGGTCTGATGAGAAATAAAGGAGCTATTCGCTTATTCACATGACATAGTTGAGGGGACCTACTGTCCATATGGGGTACACTGTGAACAGACAAAGAGCCACCTGCAGGGAGCTTCTAGGTCCCCTCTGCGTCGTGGTGCCTCCTCAGCAGAAGGTCTCTGTGTACGTGAGAAAGCTGACACCTGTGAGGGGTGAATGAGAATATCTCATCCCAGGACTGGTGATTTGAGTCTGGGCATTTTTCTGCAAAGCCAGTGTTGAATCGAGAATTACGTCTCTGTGGGAATAGCCACACATGCAATGTCCACACCAGTTACTTCCCATCACCCTCGCTGCCTCACTTTTCCTGTTTTATTCACCTCCATACGGAGTCATTCTTTTTCGTATGTTTCAATCTTTGGTAATTTCATGCAAATATAAATTATTTAATGATCTCCCCAAAGATATATACAGTTGACCCTTGAATAACATGGGAGATGGGGCCCTGACCCCTGTAAGTTGACAGTCCGTGTATAACTTTGGATTCACCAAAGACTTAAGGTGTCTCAGTGTCCACAGAGGATTGGTTCCAGGATCCTCACAGATAACAATATGAGGACGCCCACGTCCCCTGTATACAGTGGTGTGGGACAATGCACACAGCCGGCCGTCCCCTATATCTGCGGACTCCAAGCTGCAGATCAGAAACTGTACAGGTGTTTATCCAAAAAGCTCCATGTGTAAGTGGACTCACACAGGTCAAACCCCTGTTCAAGGGTCAACTGTATATACATATAGTATAGATATTGTATATACGTACATGCATAGATAGGTTTAAAATGTGACAGTGATCAAGTTATTTCAGATGGTGAAAATGAACAACACCGAATCTCCTTTCAGATGCACATTACCAAATGCAAATGCGGTTTTGTCTCTGTCTCTCTAACCTGCACAGCGCCAGAAGTGCCTCCGTCGGAGGTCAGCGGAGGAGGTGGAAGCCGGTCTGAGCTGGTGATAACCTGGGATGTAAGTGCCTGGGCCGCCTCGCCCCCAGGTGGCACCGGTTCTGGGGAAGTGCTGGCGGCTGGTGGCGTCAGGGCTCGCTCTGCTAATCGCTGTTCCTATATTTTTAAATTCCACCCTTGCAACATTTTATAGATGAAAACACCGAGGCAGAGAGTTGTTAAATACTTTGCCCAAGGTCATCTGGCGTCCCACTCAGCTGCACGACCACTGACACCAGTGGGTGCTGGCTCCCTGGCTATCCTCCCAGCCAGCGCTTTATGTCGTAATTAGGAAAAGTTTTAATTAGCATATTAAAAGTCAGAAGGTACTGGAATTATCTGTATTATTTGAAGGTGTTGAAGAAAAAATAAAAACCCAGACATCATGATGGAATGTCATAGGAATTTTTGACCCAATCCAAATTCAGCTTTGAGTTTAATACTTTGTTTTGACTTCCTTTTTTTCTAGATTTATGTTTTTCCTCAATTATATCAATGTGCAATTTCTTTCCATAAACTCAACATTAGGGATTAGATGATTTTTATTGTGCTTAAGAGACAAGGTATAATGAACATTATTATTATTACTTTTTAAGATTTTATTGGGTAATTGGGAGAAGGGAACAGACAAGTTGCTGTCCTTTTGTTCTTCAGTCTAGTTGTGGAGGACGTTGCTTTACTGGCCCATGTTGGTATTTTCATTGCGCTCTTCCTGGGTGAGGCAGATCGGTCGCCGGCTTCTGGACGGCCGCTCACAGCAGCCCAGTTGCAGGTTGAGCTGTTGTTCACCATCTCAGCTGTAGAGGACGCAGCGTCACTGGCCCTCACGTGGGATCCGAACCAAGGCCCTGCTGCTCAGAGCTGGCGTCCCAAGCCAGCTCTTAACCAGCTGAGCCACTTGGCCAGCCCTAACGTCGTCGTCATTATTATTATTATTATTAATTATTATTATTATTATTGTTATTCAGAACTCAGACTGGGGCTATATGATGCTCAAAAATCCAAATAATTTTAGAAGACCTCAGTCAGCCCCTTGTATGGCTATGAAAGCGCGCTCTGTGTCTGTTTAAAAGCAGCTGACTGTCCCACTGTACGTTTTGTCCTCTTTTTATAGGACATCAGTTATTACCTGATGGCTTTTATGAAAGCCTGGGGTGGCAACTCCTTTTCCGTCGCCTGCGCTCATGTGTGGGGGTTTTACTGTCTCACCTTTGCAGCCAGTGCCCGAGGAGCTGCAGAACGGCGAGGGCTTCGGGTATGTTGTCGCTTTCCGCCCTCTTGGGGTCCCCAACTGGATCCAGACAGTGGTCACGTCTCCCGACACCCCGAGATACGTCTTCAGGAATGAGAGCATCGTGCCATTCTCACTGTATGAAGTTAAAGTGGGGGTTTATAACAACAAAGGCGAAGGGCCATTTAGCCCGGTGACAACGGTGTTCTCTGCAGAAGAAGGTACGGGAGCCTTATCAGCTGCAGCTGATGTCCCCGGGAGCCCCGGGTGAAGTTGTGCTTAGATTCCCAGAGCAGGAGGGAAAGGGTGACCGTGCCCTGAGGCCTGAGACCCAGCCGCTAGCCGGAGGGTTTACCAGTCAGTCAGGAATCCGTTGATGAAGATTTCATCCTGAGCTTCACTTGGGATCGGGGAACAGCACACCCTCCCCAGCTTTCGTTTCTGGGGTCAGAGGAAGAGGTTCTCTTGGAAGCGGCCTAGTCTTGAGTTTCACAGTGGTTCCTGTGCCTGAGAAAAGGGGATTAGCAGGAGGGGGTCGGAGGCCCAGGGTGGGACGCGGACGAGTGTGTGGGTTCTCAGCCCTGTCCCCCAGTTCCAGCTGGTGTAGACCCATCCACAACCCATCCCCCACCCATTCCATTCTGTCTCTCTCTCATTCCTGCCCCAGACACTCTACCTGTTTAGAAAACACCGATCATGTTAGCATCCTATGAAATTGCCGTTTTTTAGTTCAGAAACGGCTAACCATTGGCTGTCTCCAGGGCTCTGCCTGATAACAGTGACAGGTGCCAACATGTAGTTAAAACTCTAGACCAGACACTACCTAGAGTTTTCCACGGAGGAGTGACATGCAGGTCCCAGTTTTATTTTTCATTTACACGTGAGAAAACTGAAGCTTGATGAAAGAAGTGTATAAACTTGTCAAAATCCATAGACTTACGAGCTAGTGTATCGATCCAGGGCCTTTGTCTTAACCGTCCGAACTCATGAAATGAGACTTCACAGAGGGCCTTAGAGACGGTCCCCTGAGCCTTACAGCAAATGGCAAAGGTGGCCCGCTTTTGTCATTCCCTGAAAACAGTAAGTAGACTCAGTTTTTCTTCGTACCCTACCCCCCATTTTTCTACTGAGCAGAAAAAACAAACAGGTATTATAAAAAGCTTTGCAAAAGAGAGAGGCTTGATAAAGCCACCGTCAGACCCCATTTCCAGGTGTTGCAGGGCTTTCATTACGAGGCCAGATCGGGGGCCAGGGGACAGAAGGCAGGCAGGCAGGGGTTCTCGGGCCGGCCTGTCCCACACACCCGGGCTCGGGGCTGGGCCCTGGGGAGCGCGGGAGGGACAGCCACAGCCTTCCCCCCGCCGCCTGTTATCATCCTTCCCACCACCAATGAGTTGGGGAAAGGCCTGTCTGTTCCAAATGTCAGGAAGGGATTCGACTCTATGAAAAAGTGAGGGACTTACTGGGAATGTGCTGGGGCCTCCCCCTGAATCGAAGTAACAGTAAAACGGCGCCGGGCAAAGGAAGAGCCTTGATGAGAGAGGCTGCTCGACCTGTGGACCCCTCAGCCCCGCGGACTCCTTGTCCTCCCAAACCAACGTGATTCTCAGGAGAAAAATCCTGAGAGGTCCATGTTTGGGCCAAGAGTCTGTCTTGGTACCAGTCGGCCTTGGCCGGGGAGCAGGATCATTTGACAAAGAAGCAGATTCTGGGGGAGAAAGAGTCTCAGAGCTGTGCCCTGATAGGGGAGCCCATGAAGCCCCCCGAGTTGTCTGTTACCAACGGGATCTTCTTCTGTGTGATGAGCTCTGACCGTCTGCACCTTCCAAAGAGGGGCCTGGGCTAGAGAAGGTGCTCACTAAATGCTTGTTGAACAAATGACCTTTGTTTGACAAGATGATGATGACAATGACGATGATGATGGTGGTGATAATGGTGATGGTGGTGGTGATGGTGATGGTGGTGATGGTGGTGGTGGTGATGGTGATGGTGGTGATGGTGGTGGTGATGATGGTGATGATGGTGGTGATGATCGTGATGGTGGTGATGATGGTGATGGTGATGGTGGTGATGATGATGACGATGAAGAGGCAACAGTGTTTGGGGGCATAGCGTTTCCCAGGTAGGAACTGTGGGAGAAGTGGGAAGAGGCACAGGTGGTCAGGTGGAGCGAACGGAGGCCGAGACGGGAAGCTGACTGAGGTGCGAGACGGACGGGCGGGAGAGGCTGTCCAGCAAGGAGAAGCCTGTGGCTCTGATGCCATCTGTCCCTAAAAAGTGGAAATTGATCAGTGCCTCCATTTTCACAACATGGTTCATGTTTTCTAATATGTTTACAGAATGTTATATTCTATAATTTATGTTCTATAAATTTTCAAATATGCTTTTTTTAAATGCTTTTTTGAGATAGGAACTTCAGTTGATTTTTCAGTTAACTGCCACAGTTGTAATGGGTTCCCCTGTCTGCTCCCAAACAGAACCTACAGTAGCTCCATCCCACGTGTCTGCACAGAGCCTGTCTTCCTCGGAAATTCACGTTTCCTGGAATGCCATTCCCTGGAAGCTGGCCAACGGACACTTGCTTGGCTATGAGGTAAGTCTTTAAATTAATCAGCTCGCGTGTGGGTGTCGCCACACCACCTTGTCTCCATTCATGTCTAAGTCTTTTTAACAATTACATCTTAGCGCAAGTCTGACTCCTGTTGAAATTTTACCAGCTCATTGTCCCATGTGACTATCATTGGCTATTGAATTTAACTCAACAAGCGGAATGAAAATAACTTTAGTTGGGGCAGAAAAGAAAAAGTCATAGAGAGGAAGCCACGTGCCGTGGGATCAGATCTCTGCAACAGCAGGTTTTCTTGGCGAGGCCGTGGGGAGGGGCCCAGGAGTGACAGAGGCTGGATTTCCCATCAGCTGAGCAGGTATGGAATTCAGAGTTAAATCAAATTTATATAAAGAAAATAAATGAACATGTGCACCCCTCTGGCAGCACACAGAGGCGCACGCACCCTGTTCATAGCTCTGCCCTTTACAAACCGTAGGACAAGACCGCGACTCCTGGCGCCCTGTAGCTTGTGACACAGTTAAGAGAAATAAACAAGAGGAACCCCGGAGACGGCTCGTGGCGTGCGCGCTCCTCAGGGCCGGCCGCAGCCGCGGGAGGCAGCCTGACAGCGTGGGTCAGGGAGATGCTGGCTCCAGGATATATAAATTAAGCAGACAGGAAGCCATCCAGATAAAGGTGTTCTATAAAGAAGTAAAATTCGCCACAGACAGCCATGTCAGGAAAGTGGGGTCCAGGGAGCATGAGAGAAAATCAGCCCCCCTTGCAGTGCCAGCTTGCTGTCCGCTGAAGTCCACGCCATTCGGACCCACTAGGATGGAGTACGTGTGCTCCGGGGACCGGGCTTGCCTGGCCGATGTATGCTGAGTGCCACCGGTCACATCAGGCCCACGGCAGCGGGCAAAAGTTGCGTGCTGATTGAATACACATAGTTTTGACTTTGATATCTTACTGTGGTGGCCTTGAGCGAGTTATGAAACAAGGATACTAACGGTGCCTAACTCACAGCCTGGTTGGAGAATGAAGTGAAATAAAGCTGCCGTAGCCCAGGGCCCGAGACCTTGGGGCCTCCACTTCTCTCTGAGTGTTGGGCACTGGGAGGAAACCTGAGACTCGGTGAGGTGCACGGGGATGCGTAGCACCGTCCTGGGCTGTCACCCCGGCTGCTGGTGCTGCTGTGAGGGTGGGAGCAGACAGACGCGGGGTGGCGAGCCGGCGGGGCCCCCCCTGAGATCAGCTGTGGGTTGGAACGCACGCCCCTGGCCTGTCTGTGGACGAGCAGCGAGCCTCCCGTCCAGATGGCACGCGAGTCAGTGCTGGAGGGACGTGAGCGGTGACAGTGTGCTTCCCGGGTGCTCGGTAAGTGTGAGGACAAAGAACACAAGCTAAGAGGAACAGGTGGTAATCGGGGAAGTCCTCGGAGCTAATTTAAGTAATTATTCCAGGATACGCAATGCCTTTCCAGGTCTCAGCAATGATTTAAATGCTAACCAGGGAAACTCATGGTTAGCATTGGATTGAATTACCAGGCACGTGGCCATCTCTCTGGGAGGCGGGTTCTCCAGGGCGGCTGTACATCTGTCCCCAGCGCCTGCTTGTCCCCGTCCTGGTGAGGGCGGATCGTGTGCCAGTGGCTCGCTGAGCACACGTCCTCGTTGGCACCCAGGCTCGTGTTCCTTCTGAACCAACGGAGGAGTCGTCGAGTCGCTGATTTCCCTGGGTTCCAACTCATTCCATGTCCTGCGCTGTAGCCCTCAGGTCGGGGTCCTTTCTTGAGAATGGTGGGTGGGAACGAGATGCCGGCGGCGTGACAAAGGGGACGCAGGCGGTGACGTTCACGGCAGTGGGGCCCTCGGGCCAACGGCTGCGCAGGGCGTCCACAGTCCATTTGAAAATGTCAGTCTGTGTCTTGAAAGAATGACATCTGGGACAATGACCTTGATAAGTGATAGAAACAGGTCCACACTTGTGCAGTTATGCAGATTACCAGGCCTCGTGGGGTTCTTAGGTGTTTGGCAGCTAAAAACGTGTGCGGATGACCAAGCTCAGTGCCGTCGCCTTCATCCGGCCTCTGGTTCTAAACAGCTGAACAGAATGTGTTTAGTTTCTAACACTTTCATGAGAATGGAAAAAGATGGCAACTATTGGAGTCGTTTTTGAGAATATGAAAATCCTCCTGGAAAAGAGACATGCACATTGAGTCTAATCCTGACTATCAGGCAAAGGATTCACTTCGCTCTAGAATGAGTCGTGTGTACAGAGGAGGATGGAAGTGAGAAAATCCAGGCACGTTTAAATAAGTGGAAAGCAGGCAGAAATGAATTCGAGGGACTAAACCGAGGACACCCAGCGTTGGAGGCAGGATTTGTTCTGCGGAGAGTTCGGAGGTGGGGGGTGGTGAGGACTGAGCCAGTGGAGCTGAGTCCTTTATCGGGCAGGCCGGGCCCTGCCAACCTGGGGCTCAGTCTGGGGGACCCAGGGGGACAAGGACCTGTCCCGCCTCCTGCTGCCAGTGGCCCAGGCCAGCGAGGGTCCGCGGGCGAGGGGGCTGGCGTGGAGCGGGGTGATCGGCCCCCCAGGACTGATGTAGAAGCCTAGACACAGCTCTGCGTGTGTGCCCCAGAACGCCGCTGCCTGCGATCCTGCCAATACTGATTAAATGCGTTTGGTCTAGCAGCTAAGTGGAAATATTTGTGTCTCTGAGAATCTGTAAGTATAAACAAAATGATTCTAGTCTATTAAAATGGCGTTTCTGACATAGTATCTCGACTTTAATGGCTAAAAAGTGCCATTTTCAAGACATTATTTTTCCAGACTGCGTTTCATTTTAAGTTTAAATTAAGTGGAGCCTCAGATGCACTGGTAATAAGGATTCCTCAGAGCAGGGCATTAGTTTGTGGAAAACCCGAATCGCTGGCAGAACAGAGATGGTGTTTTAATTCCTGATATTCCTCAAGTGGGTTTCTGTTTACTCCCCCACAATCACACACGGGCGTGGGGACTGGCTCCACGGTTCCGGAGAGAAAGTCACATCCCCTCATCGGGACACGGGCTGCAGTGCATGTGCTGTCAATGCAGAAAACATTAGGGCGTCAGCAGAACCCCATCCACACGCTCAGGTACGTGTGCTCACCTGCGGCCCGAAAATATACATGGAAAAGTCCAGAAATAAACAGTTGAGAAGCTTTAAGTTGCAGCCATGTGCGTAACACAATGGCATCTGGAGCCACCCCACTCTGTCCCCTCGGGACGGGACTCGTCCAGTGTCTGCTGGACGCTCCCCAGACGTCGGTCACTCAGTACCCGTCCGGGTGAGCAGGTCCAGTGCTCGGTCACTGCGGTGCTGTGTGCGGGTCCCTCGCTGCCACATCCACAGGGCTTTCGTTCCAGCTTTGTCGTAACTGTCCTGTTTCATTCTCAGCTGTCTGTCTCTCGCGGTGCCTGATTTGTAAATGAACCACGTCATAGGTGCGTATGTACAGGCAAACACAGTACACGTGGGAACCGGTACTGTCTGCGGTTTCGGGCATCCACGGGGGGTCTTGCAACATGTCCCTGCAGATAAAGGGGGACAGCTGTGCCTAGCGTGGTGAATGAGAGGGAATCTTTTTTACTCTTTGCTCAGAACGCGTCTGACACCGAGTATGTGACACCAGCTGGGCGTCCTGTGTGAGTCACGTCAGTTCGGATGCTGTGTACACAGAGTTGGCGGCAGACCCCCCCAAGTTTAGGGCTCAGCCTGCCACACACACACACTTCAGACACATTCACACATCCAGGCCCCCTGTACGTCCGATCGACGGGCTGTAAATCATGGGGTCCCCACCCCCACCCCGTCCTCGGCTTTTCCAGCTGGCGGGAATGGCTCACAGAACTCAGGCGCTCACCCGCTCTTGCCCACCTGTTACAAAGGGTGCAGCTCAGGACAGGCAGGGAGAGGGGTGTGTGGAAGGCGTGTGGGGGCGCAGAGGTTCTGGGCCCCGTGCCCCCCCCCACCCTCCGCGTGCTCACCGACCGGGAGCTCTCGGAACCCCCGGCAGGGCGTCGTGGAGGCTCTATCGCATCGGAGGGTCCGTCGCCGCCGGCCGTTGGTGAGCCTCGCTGACCAACCCGCAGCCCCCCCACCAGGAGGGGCCTGAGTGGTGGCAGCCTGTGCACCACGGGCTCCCCGGCCCCATCGCGACCCAGGTTCTCATTCGCATACAGAAGACACCTAGCTCTTCAGAGACCCCAGGGGTTTGGGGGTGCTGTGGTCCAGGACACCCTCCAGGGACCAGGTGTGCATTTCCTACCAGGTCGCGGGACTGTCTGTGGAGGGAGGGATGGTGGCGCATTTTAACCTGCATTTGTTCACATCGTCACTGAGGCGTGCGGGTGCGGGCCGTGCCCTGTGGGTGGACGGCCTCACCTGTGTGGCTGCACCTTGGCGTCGCCCCCCTGCTGTCTGCTGTGCCAGGAAACGCGGTCCATCCCCTGCCCGGGCAAAGCCAGGCGCAGAGGCGCTCTGTTCAGGGGTGACCCGGACCTCTCAGGTGCAGTCAGGGAAAGTGGGGAGAGCCTGTGCAGCCCAGCACCCCTGGGCGGCGGGTGCTCGTTTCATTTCCCCACTAAACGCCGAGTGGACGTACAGCGTGGAAATGCCTGCAGAGTTCAGCTCCAGAGATTCTCGGACACTTTACCTGTTGCCTTTTGCTTAATCTCTCCTCCTGGAACGCTGGGTGGGCCTGTCCGGCTATCCTGTGTCCGGCTTTGCTCTCGTCACCTCCGTCGTGCTCCGGATTCACTTGCTCTTCTGCTGTCTGGCCTTCAGCTTAATTCTGTCACTGAAGTTATTTTTCACGGTTGTGTTTCTCGGCTGTGGACGTCCACCTGACAGGGGTGAGCCACCCAGCCTGTCCCTTTGTCATCTCCTGTCCCGTCCCCCACCCCGTCCCCCCTCGAGTGGGCTGCACACTCGCTGCGCGTCTGAAGGCCTCTGTGGGGCTCCGTAGCTGGTCCCCCGGGGCCTGTCAGCGGGTCCCTGTGCTGTCACACTTGCCTTTCTCTCCCCCGCCACCCCCCGACCCCCGCCTCCCGGCGCTGCACTCACTGTTCTGCACAAGCTCCCTCTTATCCTGCCTTCGCCCCATGTCGTGCTGGTTCCCCGAAACCCCACCAGGGACTTTGGTTCCTCCTCGCAGGACAGCGGAGAGGAGAAACGCGCCTTCATCTCTGCTTCCGCCTTAACTTTTCCTTCTGTTTTAATAAAATTGTCTAACCTGACACAGATATTTTTGAGCAAACTTTTATAGAACATAATTGGTTAAGTACGTATAGAAATGGGGACTTTTAATGTCACCGCTTTCTTTGTTTTCGTTAAATGCATATTTTTATTCCATTTTCAAGTTGAGTAAGATGATATAATAACAGTTAAGTCACATCATGTTCAGTCGGTGCACGTTTTCTCCATGTGTAAATATTTCTGCTACCTGTCAGCACGGACACCTGAGATTAAATCTCATCCTGATCCCTGAGGCGCTGAGAACACCTCAAAACACGAGCTGTCACCAAGTTTCTTCACACACTCCCTGTGAATTCTCGTAGAAACGCGACTCCGGTGCCAGGGAAAATTATCTGCAGTTCTTCCTTAAATAGCCTCCCTGGGAACAATTTTGCAGCAGCTGCTGCTGAGTTGATTTGGCAGGAAAAGAATGGCCGTGGGTCGGAGCCCCGGGGGCCAGCGTGCGGGGCCAGTCGCTGCCCCGCCTCTGCGGTCCCCGCGTTCAGCAAGATTATTCTCATAATCCAGTGATTGTCCCCCACCCGATGCTGCCTCTCAGGCGACAAGCCTTGGGCTGTCGATAGCGTAGCGTCCTGCTGTACGTATTGATTACGTGTCTCTCTTGTTAATAACTCGACAGTGCTTCAAGGGCGGGGAAGTGTGTCATCATTTTGGGGGCGCCCAAACCCCACCACACCCGCAGTGTTCACAGCCCTCCATACCCCTCGGCAGTCGCGTGGCTGTCGCTGTAGAAAACAGTTTGTTATTCTTGTGTGAATTAATGAATAACTTCTGTGTGGTTTTCTTTTATTACGGTGAGTGAGGTCTGTCAGATATGTGCATGTTTTTTGCTAAAATGTCATTAAGTTTCAGTATTAATTTCATGCTTTAAAGCTGTAGAAACTCCATATTCAATTTAGTCCCAGTCATTTGGGTTCACATCCTCCTTGTAAAATGTAACACACACGCACACACATGCACACACGTACATGTGTACACACACGCACATGTACACACTCATGTGCACGCACGCACACACAGATGCACACGTGTGTGCCCACGTGTGCGCACACACATGTGTACACACACAAGCACACACACACACATACAGGCACAGACTCATCTGCTGTGATGTTAGTGAGTTCATTTGGGACCATAACTGATTTATACTTTGCCACTAAATTTTTGAAGGAAGAGTTAATAGTTGCTCATTTAAGAAAACAGTAACTCAGTGCACGTTCTCAGAGGCCTGAAACCAGTTCCGCTGTGCAGCCTGTGAGCAAGCACGCTTTTCTGGCCCACATCTTGTCTTTAAATGATGGAACCGGCTCTAAATTGGGGGCGTTTCACATTAAAATCAGGGTTACTGCTTTCTTTGAAAAACACAGAACAGCCCTGTGCACACTGGCCCATCCCCTGCAGTGAGCCGGGGCTAAGTGGGGTTCCCTCACTAACGGGGACGTGGCCGCTGGCTTGTCGCAGTCCTCACATGTCCCCACTGTCCCCATGACTGACAGGAAGGGACCCATCACCACGTTCATGGTGAAGCAGCTGTTTACTACACAGACTTCACAGCTTTTATGTTTTGCATCAAGAGTTGAAAAATGAAAGTTAGACAAAAGGGCGCGTATCCCAAGGAAACTGGAGAAACAGCATCGGCCATATTTGTCGCCGTTGTGTGGGTGGTCACGTGGTCCTGTCTGGTCTCAAGGTTTCACAAGACGTTTGTTGGGTGGTTTTGTTGCTGGTGTTGGTTTGGCCCCTGTTTCCACCTCGAGAGCAACCCCAGCTTCCCAGCAGAGCCTCGCAGACCGTCACGCTCACACCGGAGGCAGTTAGGAGCGTGGTGTTTGCCCGCACGTTTTCTGGTTTTATCAAATGTTCTCATTGCCCGATTTTCATACGTTTGTACTATACACACACAACTTCACACAGTCACAGGCCACATTCCCAAGCAGGAAGTACAAAAGCGACACTTTCACACGCACTGACGTTTAACCCTTACCTGCCGGCTGCTCCCTGCAGCAGCTCTGCAGACACACGCAGCGGTCGGCGGCGGCCGTCACCGTGGGACAGTCCCGCGGCCAGCTGGCCTGGACGGGCTCACGCTCCCCACCGTCCAGCGGAGTCTTGGAGCTGTCAGCCTCCTGGGGGTGAGCTGGGCCTGGTTGATCAGCGTCTGAGACGGGGAGCTGGTCACTCGTCTAAAATGCACGTTCCCCTCCACTCCCCACGTTGGTGCCAAGACCCCGTCGTACTTAGCACCAACTCCGAACGCACCTGGCTCACCTGTGCACTTGTTGACACCGGCCCCCTCGAGTCCCTGCTCACTAAGCTCTGGCACAGAGCCGAAGGAAGCACCCAACACACAGCAGGTCCTTAATAAGTATTTGCCGAATAACCAGTGAGACAGCCGGTCACCGCGCCCGTGTCCGTGCCACATGGGGCGTGGGGAGGTGCCTGGCCAGCCCGGTTTCGTCACGGTTTCTGCCCCCAGGTGCGGTTCTGGAGCAGCGGACAGGAGGCCTCGGCGAGCAGAGTGACGGTGGCGGCCAGCCGGACGTCGGCCACCCTCCGTGGCCTGAGGGGCAACCTGGCCTATCACAGTGCCGTCCGGGCGTACAACAGCGCCGGCGCCGGTCCCTTCAGCGCCACGGTGACCGCGACCACCAGGAAAACCCGTACGTACACCCGAGGCTCTGGGGGTGAGGAGCAGGGTGCGCAGAACGGCGCCTCTGCGTCGCCCGGAAGGGACCCCAAGCCGCCTCCCCGCTCCCGCCTGCACACGCAGAGCCACACACATACATGTCCGTGCGGGGCGACACCCCAGGTCAGCCCCGCGCAACCCTTTGTAAAAGCTCAGTGTGAGCTCTTAGGCAAGTCCTTCCACGTTTCTCTTACAATGCGACCAACTCAATCGGTTTATTTCCTTGTGTTTTTAGTCCCCAAAGCTTGAGGAGTTTTGATAAATGTGAATAAGTTCAAGTTCACGTCAAAGATTCAGGAGCGATTTAGTTTTTTTCTTTCTGTGTTATTCAGAAGATGGTGATGTACAGTGAAAGGTTGCCACAGATGATGTTGGTCTGTGTGGATGTATTGATACTTTAAAAGCTCTGACCAGAGACCTTCTTAGTTTATTTTCAAAATTTGTTAACTCAGGAAAGAAAACTGTTTGCTTACCTGGCTTGATGTGAGAATGAGACAGTTATTTTGCTGGAGTGCCAATATCATTAGTGCATCTCTGTTTTCATATATAATTCCCAAATTTGTATTAGAACAAGCATTTGTTGGCTAACATGGCTCAGGACCCCGATAATGTAAACTTAACCGTCCTGGCTTGTGTTGGGGAAGCTCAGATACGTGCACATAGGGATTCGGCTGCTGTGGATTTTCACTGACCGGTGTCATTCCCACCAGAGAAATTCACGTGCTTGTCTGCATGTCGTCTACAGAAACGAGAGTTTGGCAACCAGATTACTATGTTATCTGGAAGCCAGCACCTCCATCCCTTTTGCAGCATTTACAAGCAACCCGCTAATGCGATGATTAAGTTTTATCCTTCACTGGTGATTAGGGGGACCTGCCCCGTCTCTTATCCCCGACACGGGGTTGGGGTTAGACCCTGGGGCTTGTGGATTTGGAAATGAACTGAAAATGTTCTGTGTACAGAACTCCTCACTAAATATGCTTGGTATTCCCATTATGAATTCTGAATTAATAAGTTTTAAATATAGGTCACATTTACATATTCAAAGCACAGCATCAATCAGAAATTCTGATGGCAGGAATATGTGCAGACAGGTTTCCCTGGCTCTCCTCTGACAACTTAGTGCTCCAGCTGAGCACCTGCCAAGAAGTTACGACTGCACGTGACGGGACATCACAGGCCCGGCGAGGAGCCTGGTGGCCAGCAAGACAGGAGGACGAGGCTGGTTATAAATCAGCAGGGACATCGTGATCAGGCACAAGGAGTGAAGTAAAGTTTCGAGGAGAAGCAAAGCCCCTCTGTAATTTGGAGATAGTCTATAAACGCCCAGTCGAAAGCAGAAAATCACACCTCACCGTGATGGCGAGCCTGATTTTAATGGCTGACACACACTGAGCACGTTTCCGTCACTGTGCTAAGTGCGATTCATGTAATGATTCCTAATGTCCCTTCAGGGGGAGGGTGCTCAGGCCTGCGAGGTCGGGCGACTTTCCTGTCACAGAGGAAGGGGCCAGTGGCCGTGTACAGACAGCCTGACGGCTGTGCCGCCCGCCCCTTCAGTCCACAGCCCGTCCGCGCCTCGTTAGCACCAGCTTCTCCAGGACTTGACTGTGTGCCAGGACCTGGGTGAGGTGCTCAGCGACGGGCAGGGCTCCTGTGACACGCAGCTGTCGTGTGACGCGGACCCGACAGGGAGTCACATCTCTGGAAACGGCACAGCCCTGTCCCCCCAGTTCAGCTGTCCCCTGCCTGCTGGCCTGTGGGTGTCACTGAGGAAAACTTCCTGCGTGGAGGGGAACGCACAGGTAATTAGAACTCCCAATCCTCCGAAGACTGTACATACAGAACATGGCTGATTTTTAAGTTTTATGTCGGTAATTTTTCAAACATGTGAAAATACCGGTAAAACGGCATCTTCTAAAGCCGTTTCTGACATTGTCACCGGCAGCTCTTAGCCATCTGAGCCATCGAGGCGGCTTTGGCTCTGAGTCCCACTCACCCACTCTCCCCGGGCATCAAGTTCTAAGCACTGTCTTCGGTTCGCCCACAGCCGTCTTCTCCTGGGCTGTCAGCTCTACGGGGATGGGACCTTCTGCATCTCGTTGACCCACGGCCCGCACTGGGGGCCACGCATGAAGTGGTGGGTGGCTCACGGGGTGAATGCAACCCACAGAGCAGGTCAGCGTGGAGCACTGTAGTAATCACACGTACTTCCTTTTGGCTGAACGCTGTGAATTCCAACACCCACTGTCGTCCTTCCCCACTTGCTGAAAACGTGCAGGCGCCGTGCACTCGTGACCGTGGCACCGGGTGCCCGGCGGAGGACACCGACCCGGTGGTGTCGTGACTGACATGACACAGTGAAGCGTCCAAGTTGAGTGCCGTGGCATCCGTGTCTGATTCCCACATACGCGTGGTTTTTGAAACCATTTCTGAGTGAAATACTAATTAGCCTCTTTAATCTAAAATGGGTTTCTGTATCTTGCAACCCAGAGAGCTAACTCGAGAACATCTTCTGTCTGAAGACACTGATGAGGGAAAATTGCAGATGGCACATCAGTGACAAAATCTGTTGGCTTCTAAAAAGAAACATGCTGAGCATTGTAGGCTCGGAGGTGGCAGGAGCGGGTCCGTGGGGCAAATTCTCCGCTTTGTGTAACTAAAAATTCAAGTGATAAAAGTCAAGTGCTGCCCAGCCTGTCCCCACCGCCAGCCTCCTCGGGCCAGGATGACGCTCATGATGTCACTTGTCATGCCCTGCCATGCATACTAAGTCCTTAAATGTCCAGACCGCCTACGGCCCCCACCCCGGATGCCCCACTGGGACCCCATCCTGCACGCCAGCCTCGCCCAACACACGCCCTCCCCGGGCTGCCCTCTGCCCCTCAGCGTGTTAACAGACAAGACCCCGTCCATCCGTCCGTCCCTGGGTCTCGGCTCTCTCCCATGGTGCATTGCCCGCCTCAGCCCCTCCCCCACCTCAGGGCAGCAGTATTGCCACAGCAGCTCCAGGTCACTCCACTCTGGGCAGGTGGCACCTCCTCCCTGGCACCTGCTCTCACAGCCGGCGTGGACCTGGCGCCTCCCAGGACAAGCACAGCGGCCCCGCTGGCAGAACGCGCCCCGGGACCAGGGGACCCTCCATGTTCACACTTTCGCCGGTGATCGTGTGCGTGTCCATGTGAGGAAACAGTTATAAACGGCAGTCTTGCACCTGAGCGTTTGCTCGTCCAAATGGCTGCTCAGCCTGTGAGCTGCGCCAGCATCAGTGGCCTGAACTTAAGGAACCCCATTAAGTGTGTCCTCAGGAAGCGAAAGGTAGTGTGGATAAGAAGCATTCGAAGGGCCAGCCGAGCAGCTCGGCTGGTTAAGGGCTCACTCGAGAGTGTGAGCTCTGAGCAACAGGGTCGCCGGTTCAATTCCCGGCCCGAGCTGAGCTGCCGCTGAGCTGCCAGCAGGTGGCAGGATGGCTCAGCAAAAAAAAATTTTTTAAAGATAAACATTCGAAGAACATGAGTCAGAATATTGTGGACATTCTTGATGAGATGAGTATTCCTGCCTCAAGCACTTAATTTGGAAGTCCTAGCGTTTTCACATGTGTAATTTCATATATAAAATACACTCGTCCACCCCAAGCCGTGACCCCGGATGTGCGTGAGCGCCGGCTTGCCCAGATGCCATCTGCATCTTCCTTCTCAAGTTTCATCATTTCTGTGGCCGCCTCTCAGAGGTACCTGACATTTTTTCTTAGAAATCAACTTACTGGTTTTACTTTAATCAACGTAAAAAGAAAACAGGACCAGTACCATGTCCATAAAGAGCTGTTAACAGAACACTGAGATAAGCAGTGGTGATATCAATAAAAACAACTGCCGTGAACAAATAAGCCGCCTCCGCGCTAACTTCCAGCACCGCGTCGTTCCCGTCCAGCCTCTGAGCCTGCACCCACTTTGTCTGTGACGCTGGTTTCAAAGGGACATGGAAGACGCAGTGGCCCCCTGACCGGCTGTCCCTGCACGTGGACGGGGATTTCTCTCCACGGGACCGAATGGCTGTGTGCTGCCCCGTGACTCACGTCTGCATGTGTGTGTCACCTCCCCGCGTGTGCCTGACACCCACGGGCCCACAGACAGTAACCGAACACGCGAGTCCCAGGCACAGGCCTCAGCTGGACTTACGTGTGCTGTTTCCCGCCTGTGGCGTCGCTCAGCAGAGGGGTCCCTGGTTTTGTGAGCGCGGAAGCAGGATAATGATATGGTGCTGAACTCGACCCGGGGTCGAGGACCTGTCAGCTCACGGAGCCACGTGCTCCGCCGGCCGGACGGGTCAGTCTTCTGACCGTAGGTGGTAGGAGTGTCCGCACTCTCTGAGAAGCCTCCACTCATCTGTGAATTCTGCAGACAGCTGTACATGTTACACTTACAGTTTCCAGATGCTGATACGGGCTCAACCTGTGAAAAAAACACACGAGACATTGTCTCTGCTCCCGATGAGCTGCGTACGGGATGGTAGGACGCTGGATAGTAATAAAAATAAAGTCACAAATGAGAAATATACCTCTGGTGAGTTTTAGAGAAAGAGGACCTGCTATGTGCAGAGAGCCCCACTTCATGCCGAGAAGTCAGGAAAATTGTCCCTAAGGAAGTAGAAGTTGACTAGATTCAGGGACAATCGTAGTTAGTGTTTCGTTTTACATCATTCACACACCTGACGTCAGTCATTCAAGAATTAAGTGAGGTCGCCGGCCGTCGCCACTGTGCCAGTGTCACTGTGGGCAGCAGGACATCTGCTACCGTGTGCGGCTCAGTTAGTTCCTTTCTTTCATTTTCCAATTGTGATAAAAGTACATGGGACAAAAAATGTCTATCCCACCCATTTTTAAGTGTACAGTTCGATGGTGTTAAGATCGGTTATTGTGCAGCCAGTCTCCAGAGCTCAAATTCAGTCCCCATTAAATTACAGAGACCTTTGAAGCCCCACTCTCCCTCGCCGTTGGTTTCTCAGCCGTTTTGTGTTTCCCATCAGCACAGCCCCGGAGCTAGAACGCTGTGAGCTGGTCTCAGCTCCCTGCTGACATAGGTCACCACATGTCAGAGGGGCTTTGTAAGGAGCAGACCCCAACCAACGGGTCCACAGGGCACACGGCCCGGGTGGCATCACTGTCCCCTCGGGGTATCTCGTGGCATCGGTCAGTGATGGTCACGAATTGCCCAGCGTGGCCAGTCTCGTGTTGTTTCCTCGCGACCAGCTCACAGCCTGTGGCTAAACCCCCAAGCAGGACGTGTCCGCGCGGTTGGGGCCCTTGCGACGCTGATGCCACGTGGGTGATGCTGTCCTGTTTGTCCTGCGGTTTCAGTGCCCCGCTGGTGCTGCTGCTGACCCCGCTCCCACCCCAACCCCACCCCAAGCACGAGGCCACGGCGTCTGCCCAGGACGGGAGCTAAACTAGGAACCACATTTCCAACCCACAGTGTGTCGTTAATTACCTGATGGAGCTCTCATTAACGTTTCAGTGTTTTGCCTTATTTTTCTCAAAAATCGATTTAAACGTGGGCGATGAAGACGAAGGCAGAGTCAGCTGCAGTTTTCATGTCTGCGGCTGTGACTTCGGTCCTGGACGCCCTTGGCTATGAGGCCCCCCAGGTCGCCAACCCCTCGTCGTGGGCTGGCTTAAACCACCCACATTTTACCTTAATCTGCACAATTGCCAATTCCTCAGCCTCTGCGTCAAAACGGGTCACAGCCTGCCCCCCGGCCTGTCCCCAGCGACCCTGCCGCCATGGATGGGGGTGTCCTTGTTCCCACCATCAGCGTGTTCTCAGGGACCCTGTGAACCTAAAATGTGCGATGAATCTGACCCAGTGAGCTGTCTGCACCGGGGCTGAAGTGCCTCTTAGAGGGAGCTGTCGCTTTGTCACGTCCCCAATGCCACCTGTGCACTGCGTCACCGCGGGGTCCTGCGTGACTGTGGCGTCCGGGCGGCCTTTCTGCGTTTTGTGGGAAGGGTCCCTCAGGCTCACATCTGTTTGAATTTCTCCTTTTACGTTTCAAGCTCCCAGCCAGCCCCCCAGGAACGTGGTCTGGAATGCTACAGACACCAAAGTGCTGCTGACTTGGGAGCAGGTCCGAGCCATGGAGAACGAGTCGGACGTGACCGGGTACAAAGTAAGTTGTCGCTGGCGGTGTGTGCTTTGCAAGGGAGACCCGGCTTCAGTGAGCTTCCTGTCTGATGACGTCGTTTCTTTCTATAGCCTGCTTTTCACATGCAGGCAGCAAGCTTTTTATTACAAGGGCATGTTCCCAAAATGTCTGATTTCTTCAATAGAAATCAAAGTGAAATCATTCTATTCATGGGGGAATTTTGGACAAAATGTATGTGAATTGTCTGTTCCGTTGATTAGTTTGCTACGTCCAATGCTCCCCCATACACACTTTTAAAACCAAAGCGTGGCTCTGAGGACGGTCAGTGTTCAGCCCGAGGGCTCTGCCCGTGCCCGGGGCCGAATCCCCAGCCCAGCCGGCTCTTCCCACGTCCTGGACTTCGGGGAGTGATGGCTGCACCGTGGCTCGTCCACGCCTCGTCCGAGGCCTGTGGGGAGAGCGGTGGAGGCCGCAGACCTGCCGTCTAGTGGACGCAGAAGCGGGAAGCGACGTCAGAGGAGCAAGTGCTGTGACAGAACCACAGTGCGTGTCTGTGCTTTTCAGGTTTTCTACAGGACCAGCAGCCAGAGTGACATGCAGGTGCTGAGCACGAACACAACGTCGGCCGAGCTGCTGCTGCCCGTCAGGGAAGATTACGTCATTGAGGTGAAGGCCGCGACCGAGGGAGGGGACGGGGCCAGCAGCGAGCAGATCAGGATTCCCAGAGTGACCAGTAAGTGGGCTGAGCGGACACCTCCGGGCCGTGACCCCCGAGAGGGAGCCACTCGGTGCCCGTCTGCCCCCCTTTCCCCTCTTTCCTGTCTGAGTGCTGAGAAGGTTCTGGGGAAGAGATGAAAGCGGGGTGGGGGTCCCTCACCATGGCTGCAGAACACGGGCAGAGATGAGAGCGGGCGACGGAAAGACATCGAGAAATGCGTAGCAGGACTTTGTTAATTTGATTATTTCCCCTCATTCTGAGCCTAAATTTGCCTTTGGATAACCTGTGAAAAAAGAATGAATCCCTTAAGCATTTCTCAAGGGCAGTGTTGAACCCACAAACCATTTTTATTATTTTTAATATACCAGTTATTTGGCTTCTAGAAATTACTGATGAATCTTATCAATTCTTTACAAAACAGAAAACATTTTAACATTACCGGCCAGTCCAAAAGACACCTTTAAACAAAATTCTTACTTTCTGATTTCAAAGGAGGTTTACACCTTTTCCTTTAAAGATCCTACTGAGCCTGTTTTGTTACAGGAATTAAACTTTTAGCGGTAAGGGAGAAAGACTTGTTTTCTCAGTTTATCAGTGACAGCGGTAGAAGATGTTTTATCTTTTCTTTTAAATCTCAAATCTGGAGTTTTCAGACTCCATTTAAGTTCAGTTGACCCTTGACCAACTGTGTGAGTCACTCACACACAGATTTTTGTTTTTTAAATACATGTGCATTTGGCCCTCCGTGTCCCGGGTTTTGCATCTGTGGATGCAGCCAATTGTGGATTGAAATCTCCTTTCCACGTGAGCTCAGGAAACTGTGGGTGTAGGCGGCCAATAAGTTCCAAATACTTGGATTTGGACGCATGGGCTGGGCGCCCCGAACCCCGCCTTGTTCAGGGGTCCCCTGTGCGGCGGAGGCCACTCGACTCCGTTCCGTCGTTCTGAGCGGCGTAGATGGGCTGGTTCCCTGTTCCTTTCACTGAGCTCGGCCTCGTCTGTGGCGTCAGGGTTCAGACCTTTGCCTTTAACCGTGGGAAACAGAATGACTGACACTGTTAGCAAGTGACGGGAAGGGGACGTGGAAACGGGAGGGGTTTATCTTTCCACAGAACCATAAAGGTGGCAGCACTTGGACTAAAACAAACAAATGACAAACGTGCTCTAAGAAAGCGCTAGGTGTAGCTCAGAGCTGAGTTCCGCCACATGCAAATCTGTGAAACCCCCATCAGACCACAGGCATTATTGTGCGTGGGCTTCAGGAGAGCAGAGCCAGGAGTTAAGGTCCGGTGACGATGACGTGATGGGATTAAATGGCCGAGAGGTGCTCTTGTCCCGGGTCGGCGCAGCTGTGGAGCTGGCGGCGCTCCACGTGGCCAGAGCGGGACCGCTCAGCGCAGAAGGTCTGCCTTTTCCCGGAGGACACGGTCTTAGCATCCTCGGGCCGCAGAGCCCAGAGCAGGCTTTTCCTGTGACACCTGCCACCTGCCGAGCCGCACAGGCCGGTGCAGACCGTCCCTGACGTCATCTTTGAGAAAGTGGCGCTTTCACAGATTCCTTTTTTTAAAGATGATGTTTTATATTATGCATAATTTATCTAACAGCATATAAAATAGAAACAAACACAGATTTTTCAAATTCTTATCCCATGAAGCTTTCTTTAATTAAACCATTGAATTATCTCCAAGTTGTCTGCAGTGGAATATAATTGTTTTCAGAATGATTAAGTTGTTTTTTTCAGTTTCAGTTAAAGCAAATAATTCTAGATGAACAAAGCCTAGAATTGTTTAAGAAAACCGAAATGCATCGGTTTTCACAGATAACTTGGCTCCCCTGACAGGTGGAGAGAGGGAGGGCAGGTGAGGCTCTGCTCGGACTTGATTTCCCGAGAAGCGCTGTTTTCGCCCTGGGTCCTTGCGTTGGTACAATCCTCATTAATGGACTGTTTATTGTCTTTGACAGATATGGATGCAAGAGGGTCCACGTCGGCCATCTCGAACGTCCACCCCGTGTCCAGTTACATCCCCATCGTCCTGCTCGTCACTGTAAACGCCCTGTGGTGACAGGAACTCTTTTTTTACCATTTACTGGAAAGTTAATTGGTGACAAAAAAACAAAACAAAACCCTGCTTTCATGAAATGCAGTGATAATGCATGTTTTTTTTTCCTAACTCTGTATTTTTAACCTTCTGATAGATAAAATATGAATATAATTTAAGAAACAGTTGAGAATCCTTTTAGGGGAATCTGAAAATGCCTTAATACTTGATAAACCAAAGAAAGTTACATACTACGTACTTCCGACTTCTGGTAGGTGTCACAACTAGGAGCTAAGCGCTGTCTATGCATAAAGACGGACATGTCCCCACGGGCACGCACACGTGTGGTGTGGGTTCACTTAGCGTCGAAAAGCCCTTTCATCCAAATGCTACTTTCCTATCATAACAGCGCTGTTTGGGAGGCTTAATCAGTATTATTTTGAAATGGTGAAAAACCCATCTTAAACATCGCCCTGTTTGGAAGCGGGCGCATGTGCTTCATGAAGTGTCAGGAAGGTGGCGAGACTGCGTGACGCCCGGGGTCCTGTCCGCGGGCGGGCGCGCCCCAGGTCACTTGCTCCCCCCGCTTCTCCGGGACACGGAGACCGCAACCCCGTCCTGCCTGCCTCTGCCCACAAATTACCTGGAACAGGTGAAGAAGGAAACGTGAGCGGACCGGTTACCCAAGCGCAGGGCCGAGACGCCAATGCGAACGTGCTGACCGCTGTCGGCCGTGAGGCCCGTGGGGCTCTGACGCCCGCATTCCAGGCTGTTACAGATCATCCTTTTTCATTCAGTGACAGTATAGAGTGGAAACGATCACATTTTATCCTTTCTCAAAATAAAAAAAAATAAATAAAATGAATTATTTCCTTCACACCTATGAACGAGCTGTCAGGTTTTATTAAAACATGGTAGAGAAAATAAGGAACGACCTGAATCTCAACCCAAATTTTAGAGGAAATTCACACAATTCATTTCCAATTTCTGATGCCATTCAGAGACCCTCTCTGTGTCGAGTGACAGAGGTGGCTTTTTAGGGGACTCCAGCCGTCCCTCTGCGTGAGCCTGGCAGGCTTTCTCGTCCTGAGCTAACTTTGTAACAGAACCACGGTCACGCTGCTGACTTGGATGTCAATGCAGTCTCCCCGTACGTGGTTTTCAAAGGACTGTAGAAGACGTGACTTCACAGCAATATGTAAAGAACACGCAAAACCCGGCAGCTTGAGTTTTAGACACCGAAATCAATGTTTTACCTCGTTCTTACCAATTTCATGTTTTGCGGGAACTTCTTTGCACAGATGTCAGAATTTGAAACCAATAACAGTTCAGGTGTCAAAAAAGATAAAAATTCACAAAATTCTGATAATCACCATAAAGTGTTACTTTACATTTAGAGATTACATTTAAGATAAAGTCGTTACACACAAAGGAGAAAAATATCTGTAAGTTTCTCTGCAAGGTCTGTATATACTGTACATATCCGGCAAAAACCTGAACTAGTCGCTTCCTATGGCCGTTGTTACTTCCAGTCAGAAGGTGGGGAAACCCTTCCTCCAACACCTGTAGTTTATGCTACATGTCTTGGATTTGTACCTTTTTATTATTCAGTAATTCCGATACGTTCCAACGCTTTTCCGTTTCAAGATAATTACTCTCTCGTTTCATGGTGTTTCTAGCAATATATCTCCATGAGATTTGTACTTTGTTTCATATTGAAAAGTATAAAGAATATCTTTAAATTTCTGTGTGTGTATCCTATGGTTATCTGTATGTATGATTTTCTATTATTCTAATAAAATTTATAACAATTAAATGCCTGCGTGTGATGAACTGCGATGTGGTCAGAAAGTCATATTTTTCTGTCAACGTTTTAGTCTTTCCGTCTTTTAACAGGATATTTTAAAAATTATTTGTATGCCCTACAGAGTCAAATCATCATTTTCAGACAATCCCGTGACCTTAAAGGTATTGCAGCCGCGGGGAGGGAGGCAGAGAATTCCTGCCGGACGATGGTGTCTGGGTCCTGATCGTTGGCTGAGGCCACTCCCACATCTGTGACAAGCATTTTCTTAAGATTCATATCAATTTATCAAGCCCATCATAGACTTTTTTTTCAATTAAAGTTTAGTGGGGTGACAGTGGTTAGTAAAGTTATCCAGGTTTCAGGTGTACCAGTCTGTAACAGCATCTATACATCACGTTGTGTGCTCACCACCCAGAGTCAGCTCTCCTGCCATCTTCTTATAGGGACTTGCTTTTAAACAATCTTCGTGGTATAATAGATTCTAAATATTGGAAAAAATATACTAGGAAAAGGCTCATTTCTAGTTAGTAAAGAGTTTTAAATGTTATTGTTGACGTCAGGAAGATTAGAGCTAAAAAATAACAAGTTGATCATTTTCCTACATGAGAAAAACTCAAGGTTTGTGGGGCGCACCTGTGGGCTGTGCCAGGTGCGCACACGTGTGCAGCTGTCCTGGGAGCGTGACCGCATGAGGGCCAGAGGCCTGGGGTCACGTAGCAGCAGATTGAATCCAAAACCTCCCTGTGCCCTCTCCGCAGCCAGTGCTGTGTGACGTGGCAGAACCGGGGCCGCTCTGCGTCGCACGGCCTTGGAGTGACACCGTCACCGGCCAGAGGCCACCAAGCCTTGCTGATGTTCCGTAGCTTCTCCAAGCCTCAGTTTCCCCGCCTGCAGATGGGACCACGTGTCATCCGCACAGGGTTGCCAGGCTGTCCAGTGAACGCCACCCTGGCCGCTGCTCTGCCCTCCTTTGTGAATGAGTCCTGGCGCCCCCAGTGACCTTGAGACCCTGGGCGTTAGTAAGTGAAAGGCGAGTGTGTGCTTTTCGTTCTGTCCATCAGGAGGGACATATGTGATGCTGGGAGACAAGACAACAATTAAAGGTGGCTTTGTATGATGATTGTAGTTCTTCAATCTCATTCGCCTGAGAAGAAAGATGGATGATCTGGGGAGTTCCTAGAAGACAAGGTAAAGTGATTCTGGTATCAGATGATTTTATCATCGGGATTCAACGTCGACCGTGATGAATAACATATCTCCACTCTGTGTGCCAGACTCTGAGTTAAGCTCCTTTCCTGGGAGACATTCATCCTCACAGAAACCTTAGGTGCCGTGATGAAACCCACTTTACAGATGAGAAAACCGAGGCTCGGAAAGGTGGAGTAAATGGCAGTAGGTCACCCCAGCAAGGTCGCAGTAAAACAGGGAGGCAGCCCAGGCAGCCCCTGAGGCGGGGGGTGGGGACACTCGACCCCTCTCAGGGTCAAGTCCATGTGATCCCGAGACCCTGCGTGCCACGTACAGTGCCCGCGAGAGGTGCCGTGTTCTGCCTCCTTGTCGGCATCTCGCACGTCGGCGAGCCGCAACCTGGGCGCCTTCCCTCGGTTGTTACAAATGTTGATATTCTCTATTTCTTACATGGAAAGTTCTCCAAGCTACAACGAACCCAGCTTCTGAAATCTTTAAGCAAAAATTAGAAAAATACTTGCCCATTGTGAAAATATTTTCTAGGCTTTATGTTTAAATGTAACCATATATTTTCTTTAATTTTTTTGAAGATGGTTTGTGTTGAGTTTCAATAAATTTGCCGTTTTCAATGAAAACATAACAGTATAATTCAATGAAGTAAAGAAAATGCAAACTGATTAGGATATTACAAATTTTTTGTTTTGTACACCTGAAACTAACAAAAATAATAAAAAATCTAAAATCCCCTTCCATTTCATATTCTTATGATGCCATCTTCTTTTAAATTTAAAATTAATCTTAATTGGGTTCATGATTTTCTGAAGTATTTTACCCTTTTTGGAAATGAAAATTGTACTGCTATTCATTATAATTTGGGTGCACTTCAGTTAATATTGGAGGTTAAGTCAACCACAGCAGCAATTACAAAATTACCAATTAGTCAATTGTAGCATTCTTTTGAAAGAAAAGATGTGAGCGGATTGGAATATGGTTCCTTGAAACTGTTAGGTTTTTCTGCAGTCGCTTTTATTTCAACCCTGGGCCCTAATTTATAAGAATATGATCTGCTTTCCATGTAGGTGATAATTATCTCTTGAACTTGCACACAGAATAAATGCACCGACACAGAATTGAATCTGTAAGAAAGGACGTTCTGTTATTTGACAGGTTCACTGTGGGTCCTTCCTCTGCCCTTTAAAATTATCCTGGAACCTGACGATTCTCTCTTGGTCCCTACGCTGGGGGAAGAGAAAACATCAGACCCCGTGTGACTGGATGTCACCTGGGAAAACTCAGACTAAGACGGACATGAGAATGGCAAACTCGCAGGTGTATTTTGTCATCAGACAGTAGCATGTGACAGACACAGAGCTCCTGTGAGATGTGTCCCAGGACTGGCCAGGAGGAGGTGAGGGGCGCGTTGAATGCGGCTGTCGTGCTGGCCCCCCAAAGCCCCTCCAGGGCTAAACGCCACCGTCACACATCGAAGCGCCCACGGGACCGTGAACTCGGGCACAGCAAGTCCCCCATCTCACTTGATCTGCACAGTACTTATTTGTTGAATTGGATTAGTGAATTTTTCACCAACTCACCTTGCTTTCCTGTTTTGTGTGCTTAATTTTCACACCCAACCCCCCCCCTCCCCTCGCTGTAAATCTCAGATGCGATTACTACGCGAATACGAGGTATTATACAATTTTACCTGAAATAGTTATGAGCAGCAGATATCTGTATTGGGAACACTGACCCAACTGGGGAGAAGGTCGCGCAGGCCAGTGGTGACGGCGTCTGCTCCCACCGTGGATCCGAGCGGAGCGCTGGCCATGCTGCTGAACCCCTCCCCGTGTGGCTTGGACACACAGCTTACTCCCCAAGGACGCGTGTTTGTCACTAAGTGGGCCCCAGGGAAGGACCTGCGCTGGGCGGCGGCGTGGGTGACGTGGTCTGACCAGAAAGCTTTCCTCACTGTGTGGCTCACGGGGACTCGATAGCCGAGTCTGGGAACTGACTCTATTGTTGGGTTCTAGATGCTGAGACCTCCCTCAGGGTCACTTGTCCAGTAAACATCGGAACAGCATCTGCCTCCACGCACAGTTCCCTTATTCCTCCAGCTCTCAGACGCCGGCCTCGGGACGGGGGCGGGAAGGCCAGACTCCTGCCCAGGGCGCTCGCCCACAGGTAACAGCAGGAGGCAGGTGATCCGAGGAGGGGTCCCCGCTCAGGCCGTCCTGGGAGGGAGCTGAGCGTACCCCGTCCTGGCCCTGGGAGGGCTGTGCCTCTGCTGGCCGAGGGCTCCTCTCTGAAAACAGGACGCAGGGCCAACAGCTCAGGCGGCGGCACGAACCAAGGCCAGAAACCCTCCCCAGAGGGTGCTGCTCAGTGGGCGTTACCTCAGACCTTCACGCTCTGCCTTTAAGTGACAAGGACCTGCTGTGACCTCATAGAGGCTCCTTGTGAGCTGCGGTTATTAAACTGAACCAGAATCACTGCAAGGGCTGCTTGAGGCTGCAGAGAAGGTTCTGGACGGTTGTCTGGGAGGCTGAGCGGCTGAGCCTCGGCCGGGAGGCCTACGCTGAGTGAAAGGAAGTCACAGCAGCGTGGCCAGGAGGGGCCCAGGGGTGGGGGGTCCTTACTTGGAGCAGGTGCCAGGGCCACCACCCACGCGCGAGAGGGAGTGCCGTCGGAACCCGAGGCACCAGAGATGTCCGGCTCCTGTGACCACGGAAGAGCGTCGTCCCCTCAGAGCAGGTCTGCGTCTCCGCGAGCCCTGACGAGGCCCTGGTGTAGGAAGCCGCCATGCTCTGCTGTTCGCCCACGTTTGCAGGAGGAGACGCTGAGAACGCAGAGAGTGGGGAAGGGTCCCAGGGGCCTGACGCGCAGCTCAGGGGACCCAGTCACAGGAATGACAGGCTTCTGCTGCGAGAACAACAGATGCCGGCCAGGACTGAGCCAGACAAAGGCAGAGGGAGAACAGGCGGGTGTCTCCAAGGCCAGGAGAGTGGAGACACTCGGTCGTTTTCACAGACTTCCTTCACCTGGACAGAAAATTTCAATCCTGTCGAGAGCATGGGTAGAACGACGCACACCTGAGTCTGGACAGAGACAGGCTGGGTCCCCTGCCAGGCTCTCCGTCACAGCCAGCTCTGCGCAGAGACAGCAAGTGGGCTCAGGTGTGTGTGGGGGGTGGGGGAGCCCCAGCCGCCAGGACAGGTGGGGCTTCAAGGGCCCACAGAAGCTCCTGGGAGTGAGTGGCCTGGGAGCTCGCAGACCTGACGGACACCTGGTGGGAAGGGGTGTCAGCTCTGCCTGCAGAGCGGAGCAGGCCAGCCTCCACAGGGCACCCCCTCGGTGTGTGACGGAGGGTCGGGGAGGCTGTGGGGACATTACCGTCACGTCCTTGGACCCCCACTGCCCACCTGCCCGGGGCCCTGAGCAGAGCACCAGCTCACTGAGTTCCTCCCCCACCTGTGGGGGGAGCAGAACGGGCCCACCTGCCCCTCCTGCGTGATACCTGATGTGACCCCTTAACTCTGGGAACTCGCTGCGTCTCCTTCCCTAGTCTGTGTCACTGTCACTGAGGCCCCTGTGGTCTCGCGTGCCGCTCTGGCGGAGACGCAGCTCGTTGTCAGGGTCGGAGGGGCCGCCGCCCGGAGAGCCCCCTCTGTCCTCTCCTGGCCCCGAGCGGCTTCCCGCAGTGGCCACGCGGGACGAGCCATAGGGCCTGAGGGCTTCGGATTCGGTTTTAATCATCCTTCCTGGAGATTAAATGGTGTTTTAAAGGGAAAAACTTGCATTGAAAAACGTGATGGTTTTTCCCTCAT